CTTCAAAACATGGAAGAAACCAAAACATGTGCACACATACATGTGCATGCAGTGCTATAAAGAAATAAACATTTACATCCGTAACAAATGCACCAATCTACCTTGAAGCAAAAATCTTTACCAGGTTATAAATCCCTCCCCTATCAGTATGTACAGAATCACTTAAGTGTTGACCCCTAAATAACAAAATATAACTCATGTGCTCAGATTTAAAAAATTCTCTTTTCAGAAGGAAGATGAATCCATAACTAAAGCCTGCATCCCTGGGTTTGTAGTTTTTAAAAAATAAAAGGTATGTATCATACCACAGGCAAAAAAAAAAAAAGTCCGTACTCTAATCCAGTTGGAAAATATGAAAATCTACTCACTGGTGCTCCCCTGGCACCCTCAGGACCACTTACTAGCAAAGGTTCTCTAGCATTCATATGGCCTCTGCTCTTTGGCTGACCCACATTAAGCACTCGTAACACACACACGTTAAAGACAAAGGGTACAGACAAGCGAGTCAAGATGGGCTTGACGACTCCCAGCTATTAAGACAAGAGAACCCCTGGATACCAGACACAGAAAAGGGATAACTGTGTCATTAATAGGGCAGCTTGTGTATAGATCTCACCAACCCCCAGAGATGATGTGGCTTTTCATTTCCAAAGACCAAAGCTTCCTCCGCATTGGGAACGTAACACTCACTACTTCATTCAGTCCTGGCAACAACCTTCTAAGGCAGTGACAATGTCCTTCCCATTCTAGAGATGTGGAAACCCAGGCCCAGAACTAGGATTAAGTTAACGAAGTCACAGCCTATACCACAAGCGATAAGGAAATGGATTTCCCTCAGTGCCACTGTCACCTACAGATTCCCTGACCATTGGAAACGTACAAATGTTAACAGCAATTATCAAATTCTAGCAAATACCATGAGTACAGACACACACGTGGCCTGATGCAACAGGGCGTAAGATGTGGGGTGATGTGGGGGTCAGAAAGATGTGGGGTGATGTGGGGGTCAGAAAGCGTCACGTCTCCACCCACTACGCATCTCTGTGACTGGCACTGAATCAGGTGCCATAGAGATGTCAGACATCCTGCTGTTTCTCCTACAACTATTACCTGTGTTTCTCTGGCCAAGTTTCTCATCTATATAATGAAGCAGTTGTACTTACCCCACAGGAAGGTCGTGAAGATGAAACACGACCTCGCATAGCGCCTGGCACCAAGGAAAATGTCTTTTCCACTCTCCAGTCCGGCGTAGACAGCCAGTAAATACTGTGAGAGTTCAGAAGGAACACACCAGCGTGGGGTAAGTAAGGAAGAGTTTCCAAGAGATCACAGAGTCTGAACCTGGTGCCGAATGCACTTTTGAATTTGTACTCGTGAAAGGGAGTTTCTCCTGAGGGGCGACGGGAAAGAAGACTGAAGGGAGAGGATGGGACGGCGCACGGAGGGAAGGCCCAGAGCCGCTGCGGAGGGAGCGGGCAGCCCTTGCGCTCTTGCACAGGAGCATTCTGACAGACACTCTCGGGCAAGTGGGTCCAGAACAGGACTTCTTTTTCCTTTTCACCTAGTTACCACGTATTCCTCCCTTCTCTCCTAGTTCAGACGTACAGAAATCCCCAACTACCACCCAGCCCTACCATCAGTGCCATGGTGGGTATCGTCACTGGCAAACAGGGCCTGCCAAACACAACTTAAATTTTTTTTTTTAACGTTTTTATTTATTTTTGAAGGAGAGAGAGAGAGAAAGAAAGAGCATGAGCAGGGGAGGAGCAGAGAGAGAGGGAGACACAGAATCGGAAGCAGGCTCCAGGCTCTGAGCCGTCAGCACAGAGCCCGACGCGGGGCTCGAATTCACCAACCGCGAGATCAAGACCTGAGCCGGAGTCGGACGCCCAACCGACTGAGCCACCCAGGCGCCCCAGGGCCTGCTGAACACAATTACAGGAGATGCTGATAAGATCAAGTCAATCCACAGGTTCCTATTTTTCTATATGTTGTATTACCAGCTACCGTCATCCTTTTTACTTTTCTTTCCTTCACAGGAATACGTGGATGGCATGCTTACAGTAGTCCCCCCTTATCCACGGGGAATATGTTCCAAGACCCCCAATGGATGCCTGAGACCATGGACAGTACCGAACTCTGCATATACTGTTTTTTCCTATATATGTACCTTTGATGAAGTGTAATCTATAAATTAGGCACAGTGAGAGATCAACAACTAATCACGAAACATAACAATTATAACAAAAACTGTAATGAAAGTTACATGAATGTGGTCTTTCTCTCTCTCTCCAAATATCTTCTTGTGCTGGACTCACCCTTCTTGTATGATGTGAGATGATAAAATGACCATTGAGATGAAGGGAGGGGATGACGCAGGCACTGTGATGCAGCGTCAGGTTACTGACCTTGTGACATCAGAAGGATCATGTGCTTCCAGAATGCAGTTGACCACGGATAAATGAAACCGTGGAAAGAAAAACCGCAGAGACAGGGGGGAACTACTAGTTATTTCTGGGATCATGGTAACTTAGTTAAGCTATAACTGAACTTTTAAGGGTAGCAACACTCACCATCATTTGGGTAAGGTTAATAACCAAGAGTTAAATAGGTAAAAAGGGATCACTATCAGTGAGCATTCTCCCAGAGAAATAATAAGCTATTGTTTCCCCCCTCGGCCAGCTGCTTTCTACACACACACACACACACACACACACACACACACACACACACACTGGGGGAAAAGACTGCTAAAATGCAACCTGAAAAAAATGTAAAATTCACATTCTTTCTAGAAAGTAAACCTATTCTAGAATTTTAATCATTAATTGATAATAAAAGACAAAGCAATGGCAGTCAAAAATCATAAATAAAAAAGGAATAAAAATCATCTTCCAGGTTCCTAAAACGTTGGAAATTAGGTAAAACTCACAGTGTCAAACTACATGTGCTGCCTGTTCTCAAACTGGGTGGGAGCTCCGACAGAAGAGACTGGAGCTCAAGCATGACAGCCCAGCATAAAATGGAGCATCGCCTTTTCAAGTGTGCACTTGAAAAGCTGACAATTTCAAGAAAATTTAATGTCTAATTCACCTGAGTCTCAACTTCGGGCTCCTCTCTTCCCTTGTAAAAGCATCATTAGCTAGAGTTAGTACTTACTGGAGCAAGATGGCCTTTGAGAAGATATGGCTGCCTTAGAGGCAGCCACCCATCTGGTGCTCCAACACAGCACTCCTTTTTGGAAGGCCAGGTTAAATCTCAAAGGGGAAAGACCTCTTCTCTGACTCAGCATAAGTTCTAAGGTCCACATATAGAAATCTGCACAAGGATGGGGGAAATTCTTAAACCCACTGAACTAAGTTTAGATCACACATACTGAATTTGTTCCTTGATTTGTAAGTGACATAGATCACTTCCTGTGAATTCAAGTCAAAAGTCTACGGGCATGGCCATTCAACGGGGAGAATCTTGAACTGAACTCCACCCAGAGAACAAATGTAAAAATAAGAGAATTCTGAATCATTTCTCGTAGAACAGTCAGATCCATCCTTCATTTTAGCTGACGTGCAAGACAGTCCACACAACAGTCTGACACCCACCAAGAGCCACTCCACAGGTTACTTGTGGGGCTATCTGTCACAGTAATCCCCTATCTGCAAACAACAACTAACACCTAGAGGTCTTCTACCGATGACTGGCTTCGGCATAAACAGACTGGTTACCAAATAAAACGTGTTGGTGGAAATGTGCTCTGGGCACATTTAGGTTTTAATGTTCCCCTGCTCCTGTCAAATTACCTGTAATCACTTGCCATCACCACAGTAAGCCCTCTTTAAGGGTCTCTCATTTAGTTTAGTGGATGTCTTTAAAATGCCTTCTATTTCTACAGCAATTTAAATTATTACCTTGACATTGCTTTTCTCACTCCCGTGAATAAAGTAAGGGCGTGTTCTTTATTAGAAAGTGACTACTTGCCATCAAAATTGTTCTCTGGTGTTCCGGTTTCCAAGACGTAACTATTAAAAGGCCAGGAACACGAGCTCAGGTGAAGGGAACTTGTTCGGTTTCCACTAAGACTAAATTTAAACTATAAACCTTCATTTAACATGGATTTTTGTACTGCTTCAAGTCTCAAAAGAGAACACTACAATCCCCTAAGACTAAATCACTTGTCTCTTTTTAAGAGTTATCAGAATAGCATGATGCTGAAAGTGACAGTCTGGCTATGTTCTGTTTGTTAATGCAGCACAGTGCTGGCCAACTGCATCGCAAATACAACTATTTCTGTGCCATTTCTATTTTTCACTTAAACGTCACCAGCTCTCCCAGACCCGGGACCTGTCAAGTGGTCTGTTGCCAAGACTCTGCCTGTCAGAAAGGTCAGCATCCAGTACCTTCCAGTTGGGTCCCAAAGGGCCTCTCTTGGTCTTGACTGACTGGAATAACGCTGGGTCTTCATCAGCTTTGTAGTCCTGCAAAGCAAAACAAAGTCAGAGGCAGAGAAGGAACCCAGAGAAATTTCTTTAACCTTGCCAGAACAGCTCTTTGCAGCTACTAAAACACAGGACAGAAACTGATTAGGCTTACTACTGTGCCTTTGCGGAAAAGTAGGAAAACACTTCGTTATGATAGTAAGTTTTGGGTTTGGTTCTGTTTTACACTTTAAGGCAAGATGACTACACAATATTCAGTAACAGAAGTCTTGAGGAGCAAGCCACTGGTTACTGAAGAGCTCCACAAACCTTCCCACGTCTTTTAACAGTTTCAACATGTCGATACACATACAGGCACATTCAAGAAATAAAACCATCCTGGTCTTGACAATATCCATCGGTGATGACTGAGAGCTACCACTGTGGCCGGGAACGCAGATCAGAACTATCAATCCTGCAGCAGCACCCCCCCAGCCCGGCCCTGATCTCTTCCATGGCTGGGTCTGTGCTGGGTGCCTCAATGACAAGGCCAGCCTGTCCACACCCTTGTTCAGAGACCCGTAGGGTGCAAATCCCTCGGCTTGCTAATGGAAGCCCCTCGTCACAGGAGGTGAGCGAGGGGTTTATGCCTCCATCATAGAACTACCTCAGTTGTATCACGTCACAGCGGAACGGCCTTAAGACTGGTTTTATGCAAAGTTCTAGCGTGTGTAAATTCTACTTCCCTAACATCCTCTTCCTTATAGAATGGAGGAAATGAAAGAAGTAATCTTTTTCAACCTGCCTGCTCTACACATACACACATATACACACAACCTACAGATAGGAAAAAAACTACCTTAAAGAGTAAAGTTCAGATTTAAAAAAAGAAATGAGTTTCAATGGCCACAGTGAGCAGAGGTCAGCTGGTGAGCTGAAAATACTACAAAGGGAGAGCCTTTGCCTTGTCACGCAGAATTCCTGAGCCCCTGAGCCTGGGGTCCTTCCCAACATTCATGGAAAGACCATGTACTTTAAGGAAAACACCCAGACAAGTCGTATGTGAAACATCACTGTTCTAGAGATAAAGGCAAGCACTGAACATCTCTAAGTATAACACAAACTTTCACAAATCAAAGAAAACATGTTGAGAGGCAGCCGCTCTGAGATTCAACATTTACTCAGTAGATGCACATGATGTGTCAGTAATTCCTAAAGAGAAAGTTAGACGTAAATTGTGTGAAGAAGGGAAAATGTGAGGTTCAAGTAGAAAACAACAATTCAAAAAGGGCCCAACAGTGTGCTAAAATTATTACACAAACATTTAGCTGGCTACACTGATTCTTACTGCTTTAAGATCTGCAATGTGGTAGTAGGCATTAGGTCAGGCAGCACTATCCAGTTACGACAGACCAGAACAAGCCGCCTGCCAGGGGCCAGAGGACTTCTGGAGTTACATGTGTCTGGGCACATCACAGAAAGTTCAATTTCTGTCAACTAACGTGAATTCTTAAATTCCAATTTAGAGCCGCACCCTCAAAATTAACAACTTCACTGCTGAGAAAAGAATCCATCGTACAGGCAGTCTCAACACCAAGGTTAACAGTGCGCAACCAGCCGATATAAACCATCATGTAACGCCATCAAATGTTTTCTCTAAGTCTGAGGCTTGGAATTAAAATCTAGAGACAAGCTTACTTTTCCCCAAAATTGAAAGTATTTAACATCCTATCAAATAATCACTTCTGCCACCATGTCCCTCAATCGAATCTATTTATTCAGTAGCCACCACGTAGAAGGTAGCGTGCAGGATGCTAAGAGGGGAGCCCAAGGGGTCTGAGGACACAAGGAGAACCAGCACCTACCTGGTGCCAGCTCCTAGGAAGTCGCAGTGGAGCTGGGAGAAAGGAAGAGGCAAACAAAGAACCGAAACCCCAGAGAGTAGGGGTTAACCGCCAACAGAGAATGGAGAGAATGAGAGTCAGAACTGAAATCAACGGACACAAGCCAAGGAAAGGCATTTTTAAAATCAGTTTTAACATCGTGTTTAAAAGGTAGAAAAACCTTAACTGCAAAGGTAGATGTTAAAAATTCTTGTGATTCAATTTTTAACTACCTGTATAACGTCCAGAGGCCTGGCCAGTGTTTACCATTTCAACCCACTTAAGTGGGGGGGGGCGGGGGGAATACTTTTTTATTTTTTTTAAATACCATCTCAGATGTGACCTCATTGTGGGCATGCCGTTCAAAATTTTTTCTTAATGCAAAATGTGAGATATGATGGAGCCTGGCACGGGCTGAATGGTAAATCGCACATTTCCTAAATCCGAGGGACTGTCAGAGCATGCTCCGCCATTTTATGTGACAGGAAGAAGGAACACACTCAAGCCAATGAAACATGCCACACCTGGCAGACAAACCCTAATTCTCAGTGTATTAAAACGGGAGGAAAAGCGGGCAGGGGAGCCTCAGAACTGATGAAATGGAGCCCACAGAACGAACTTCTGTACGATTATGGCACCGGTGGAGGTCAAAACGAACAGACGGATCGGGTGGGCTTTGCTGACGACACCCCTTCAGGTCCTTCCCGACCCCAGCTCCGTACCAGGGTGCCCACCTCCGGGCCTTTCGATGCCTGTCTGACATACTAACTGAAGAGGGCAGAGTAACGCCTCAGAGCTTCTCTGCTCTGCACCTGTCACACTGTGGCAGAAAAAGCCTGTTTCCGAGCCTTTGTCGTTACTACCACGTACATACCCTGCGACACCTTTTGGAACTAAAGGATCCACAGAATTACGGAGGGAAACCCGCCCATGAAGACCATCCCAGCCGCCTCATTTGACAGATGAGGAAGCCACAGTCCCAACGACCAAGTGGTATGGCTCTCCTAGCCCAGGACTTAACTCCAGCCTTCTGGGCCTCTGTCCCCGGCTCATTCTAGTGGACCACACAGGAGGCAGCAGAAGGGTGTCCACAACTGCCAGATAAGCAAAACCCATTTCAAAAACACCAAGAAGCAGCAGCAGCAGAGGCATCAAAGTGGATTTGCCTGTAAGGCAGGAGTGTGTGCATATAAAATATCACACACACACACACACACACACACACACTCATGTATCTCCCAAGGTAAGTCTTCCCAGCTGTTTTCTCTTGACTAAAAAGCAGCAAACATTAAAGGTGTAACACTGAAAGTGTCATAAGACCCAATTATTAACAATAGCACCTTAACCCTGACAGATGAGGATAATGCATCTTGTCAAAACCCAGGAATTTTTTGTGTTTTAATGTTAGTTTGCATACGTAAATGTTTAATCAGTTGAATTAAGTGCCAAGGTATTACAAAGCAGGAGGCAGGTGTGGTTTTAACAACGTCGGTTTTGTACCTTTATAACAAAACACTTAATTTTTCTGAACAGCTACCTTCTTCGCTACGATTTTATTGTTGGATTGCTGGTTTGGTCTTTCTGCATTTGAAAACTGGCCGATTCATATCCGTATCACAATGAACAAATATATTCCTTCATGTATGACAGTTTCGGCATACAGAATGCAACCTCAGCTACCAATTATAGCTGCAAATGAGCAATAGTGTGGAATGAGACAGCCTGCTGGCTTTGTTAGTATTCTGTCTCCTTCGGGATCCCATGGGGAAAGGGGAGGCTCTGATGAAGAGAAGCCCTTGGCTCATGGTTTATTGTGCTTGCCACCAGCTGCAGACTTCTCATCTCATTAGTTCTTTTAGAATACTGTGGGTGAAGACAGCTGTAGCCTACTTGAGTCTTCAGCTCCTGGGTATTCTGAAGGCTGAATTTGCTATGCACTTTCTGTAATCCTTGGGAAAAAAAAAGCAAATTCACCAGGCCAAGGAAGTGTATTTTTAAAACGAGGTTTAAAATCGCGTTTAAAAGTAGAAAAATCTTATCGCTAAGGTGCACTGTGTTTAAAAATTTTTACGATCAAATTTTAATTATCTGTATGATGCCCAGAGGCCTGGCCAGATAAGGGCTCGGTAAAACCATCATTATCAAGTTAGGTGTAATGTCCCCGGACACCCGTTCGCTCCACCAATACCAGGGCCTCGACGACAGAAAAACACAATGGTATCAGCATAAGGTACATTCGGATTAGTGGTAATACAACTCTATTTAATTGAAAACTCTCACTTAAGTAAAAAAGGAGGCAAGTGAAAGTCGAGACACCCTTTGGAGAACAAATAAAATATAATATGGGAAATAAATGGCTTACTGAGTCTCCATGCTGGAGCCACAGAGTACGTTCATTAAATTCTTATAAATAGCTGTTTTCTGTCACTGGAATACAAAAGTTGTGCTACCTCTTGGGTGTACATCTGTTAGCCTCTACAGCTCTCAACAGAAACTCTCAACAGAAACCAGATTCATTCTGAAGACAAAGAATATTAGTTTTATGAATCTCTTAGCAGAGTGGCTGTCCCCCCAAATGCAAGTACAAAATCTGTGCTGAGCCAACCTAAATGTCCTTGAGCCCAGATTTAACTCATGATTATGAATGGGAAGTGAGTAGGAGGGGGGGGACCGGCAGGAGATTCTTGACAGCTTGTGGAAAAATCGAGATGAGCGCCACACGCCAGAAACTGCTCGGAGAACCAGGCATGGGTTGCCACAGGTGAGGCGAAATGGAGGCTAAGAAGAGGGCCTAAGCCACAGCATTAGCAGCCTCCGCACCTGCTCCTAAAAGGGCACCCTGCGCGACCCCCCGCTGCCCCCGCCCCCAGCACAAAGAAACCATTCTGCGGGGTAAAAAATAAAAACTTGAGAGAGATATTAGGATCCCGCAGCCTGCCGTAAAATGCTTTCCTTGAGCACAAGATGATTAATTAGGTGTCTATTCAAATAGCTCAAAGATAATCACGAAGTTGAGAATGCACGGGTATCGCCGCTCAACCTAGCAAAGCTTATTTCCTCTAATCACATCCTAAAAGTAAAGCCCAGGATGAGGGGGAGAAAACCAAATTAAATATGAAGATAAATAACAAACATCATCTATTAGCACTGCGCTTCATTTTTCAGTACGTATTGTGG